ATATATATCTTTTTCATTGTTATTATTATTATTATTATTATATGTAATACGCTTAACATATAATTAAGCCTAATAAACTTGTTTTTGTGAAATGTTTCACTTGAATAGTGGTGAGTTGATCAGATCTGTTTAGATCCTATGTACCATTCATTCATGATTTTTTCCACTGAGACTTTATAATTCTATATGATACTGTTGTTCTATTAAGAATTATTGCCAGTAGATGAAATAATGGAAACATAAAGAATCCCTTCCTTTCATATGAGGTTACACTAAGGTAAAGTGTAATGATAAAGGGTTCTTCGTCTTTTCCAGAATGAAATGAATCTCTTTAACAAAGGTTACACAGCATATGGTTAAATGTGGCCCATTACTATACACAGAGGAAACGTTCTGTCATTCTGCGAGGCAGATAAGCCATCGCTGCACAGTGGGATTAAAAACATTGGCAGTCTTGCTCAAGGTCACCACGCACCGAGCGCTCGTTCCTTCAGTCATACTTTCACAGCGAGATGATGTATGAATAGCGGCACTGAACGCTTCCAGGCAAACACAACTCTAATTAAAGTGGTGCAATAGTAAAGTGTTATAATGTAGGAGAAAGGAGGTCAGGAGGAAAGAGAGAACAGAAGAAAACAAACAAGAGCACATGTAAACTGCCTGTTGGGTTTGATTCAGCTGTGCTGAATTTTTCATGATGCTACATGCACCAGAGTCTTAGCTTTACTGTCTCACTGTAGCTGCAGTGATTTACTTTGTGAAAACATCAGGTTTTAAGGAATAGTTTGCCACAAAATGAAATTTTGGCCAGTGTTTATTCATCTCCATGTCTTTTGCAAAGCATATTTTATTCCATGGAACACACAAAAAAAAAAAAAGACAATGTTCAAGCTGCTCTATTCAATACAGTGAAAGTGAATGGTGACTAACTTACAGATTCAACAAATAATTTTTCCCTGAATTATAGGGCTGGGTGGTATGATGGTATATATCGTTACTGTGGAATAAAGTGTTTATCGTTAGACACTTAGCTATATCGTGGGGTTCGCGGTGTGCAAATCAAATCATTCTGATATGCTGTTTAATATTTTTGTGGAAACCCTCATATATTTTTCAGGTTTCTTTAATTAATACA